TTCACGATGTATACCTTGATATATACAAATCAAATAAAGAAATGATGTTTACCTACAAAAAAAAAAAAAAAAAAAAAGTTGTTAATTAAAAAGTTTTCAAAAAAATATAATAAAGTATTATTTTAAAATATATAGTTATTAGCTTTTAAATTTGATTTAGAATTAGAATAATCAATATAAATTGATTTTTTTTTATGATTCTATTAATTTTTTAAATTATTGATATAAAATTAATTTTTAATATTTTTTTAAAAATAAAATATAAATAATTATAATAGTTTATATTATAATTTTAATAAAATATTATGATTAATAATATAATATATTAATTTTTTTAAAAAAATAATATTGTTTTAATTTTAATAAAATAATTTTGTATTTATAAATATAAATATAAATAATATTAAATAAAAAAATTTTTAAATATAATTATATTATTTAAAAAAAATCAAGTTTTAATAAATTTGATTAAAAATTTTAATTTATATTATTTAAATACATAATTATAATTAAATTTTTAAAATTAATTTATATATAATAAAACTTAAATATAAATAAATATTTTATATTAAAAAATATTAATTTGTATTTATATATTTAATATTGATTTTTTATTTAAATTTATTGTTAAAATTTAAAATTTAAAATAAATAAAAATAAAAAATTTTAAAATAATTTAACAAGTTATTTTTTTTTGTTAAAAAATTTTTTTTAAATATTAAAAAAAAAAAATAAATTTATATTAAAAAAATAATATATTTTTAACATATTTTTAAAAACATATTTTAAAAACATGTTTTTTTTTGCAATAGTTTTAATTTTATTTGTTAATGTAATATTAAATATTTAATATAAAACTTTTTGTTATTTTTTTATATATTATATGTTTTAAAAAAGCATATATGTATTTTAAAAAATAGTGTTTAAGTAGTTTTATATTGTAAATACTATATATAGTTAATTGAAAATGTTTAAAAAAATAATTAAAAAAATATTTATTATTTAATTTATTTTAAATATAATATATATATATAATATTTGATGTTACATGTTGTTGTTTGCAATTTAAATAGTTAATTATTTTTGAAGGCAATAAAAATAAATTTTTGGTCTCTATTTTTAAACAATACATATACAATGTAATTTTAAGAAACACAGTTATAGTGTCCGAAAAATCCCTGTCCACCTTCAAAAATAATTACCCAAATATTTAATTTATGTAATTTCCAAATTTATATTATAGAAGGTTTAAAAATATATATTACAATCATTTTTATTATTCTTCACATTGCATAGGAAAAATATGATGTAATTTGAAAAGATTATGTTATGTGATAATCATGACTAATCAACAGTTAAAGCCGATGCAGTTGTTACATAATTGATTTTAGCAGCTATATAACTAATTGTGGAAATAAATATACATCTGATCATTTTTAAAGTGTAAAAAGCATTTAGAATACTTTTATACAATACATCCGATTTTCAGCCCTGGTGATTGAAATGACGTAGTTTTAAAATTTTGAAAATGGAGAAATAAGTTGTTCAGCCAAAAGTCATCAGAAATTTAATCGTGTAACGATTCCAAAAAAAAAATCGTTTGTTTTGATCACAGAATGCAGACCCTGGTTCCAATCATGGTCAATTTAGAATTCATAACCAAAATGTGAAAAATCTGATCTTTAAATTCGATTACAAACAGTTTCGCATTAAAAGTGTTCATACGATATCGCCGATCATCCCGTGTGGTTCGGATCATCTAAGTCGTTAATGCCGATAAAACAATTGAAGAACATTCTATCATATCTTTATCTAAGATTTTCTATTTCATCGTTATTAGATTTGTTTATTAACACCGTGATACAAATGCCCAATTTGATGTCATAAAACTTAAGTGGGTAAATTGCAAAAATCGATAGTGTTACATACAATAAATAAAACACAATGGTTTTTATGTCACAGAAAAAATTGGGCATCAAAATTTTTAATTTTCCGAAAACATACAAATTAACATAGATCATGTATTATTTATTACAAATGTGATACATTATTCTTGTTGGAATTAAAAAAATTTCTCCACATACAACACAACTCATTACGTATTTTTTTGAAAAGAATTTCGTTATAGCATATCTGCTTTTACTTTGCAGAACAGGTTCGAAATTTTCACTTTATGCGTACCTAAAATTTAATAACCGCTTAATAAACTCTTCATTTGTTAATGGATTCTTCCATGGCCTCGGATTTTCTTTCGCCATCACCGAGTTCAGACTCTACCACGACTCTTGTAAATACAGTATCTCCATCTTTCACAATAATATCACCAACGAATCAATCTACAGCCATTGCAATAGCAGTCATTTTCTTTTTTACGCTTATTATTGGAATATTTGCGATTCTTTGTACTATATCCATATTTCATAGGCACAAGAGTCGAACATTTATAAGAAATAACACAGAAAGTGACAACAACAATGACTTAGATGATAATGGTTCTAATAATTTAAACACTGATGATGATAGGTCGGTAGCTACACGGGAAATATCTCTAGATATAATAGAAGAAAATCGGATGGGCTTTTTACATACACCAACCACACAAGAACTAGAAGAAGAAAATATAATAACACCGAATCGAGAACATTTTATTGTAAACCGACCGGAATTTCTACCAGAAAGAAGTAGACGTCCATTTAGAGGAAGAGGAAGATTTCAAAGAGGATTGACCGTTGATTTTCCGTTAGCTCAACCGGATTATTTTGGTCTAGATTTTGGCGGAATAGGACCCGATGGAACTAGAGGTGAGGCTAGTAATAGAAGGAGAAGGGAGAGTGAAGGTGTATTAAGATTTGAAATGCGGGAGTTTCGAACTAATAGGAGCGACCACAAAAGGTACAGCCTATAATAGTAGATGTTTATTTCAGGACGTGAATCAAGAAAATTTGTAAGATATAATAATTATTGACAACAATAGAAATATAAAATTTAGAACAACTTATTTTTCTATGGATGGTATTTCAATTGGATTTTACTTCTCCAGTTTTGTATGAAAAGATGTAAAAAAAGGGTGCTGGTCGATGTTTCCTGTACTAATAACTTACCCATGCTTCCTTTTCTTTAAAGTGTATGCATTTTTTTTAATTGTAAATTTAATTTACATATTCCCGTAAGAAAATATGAATATGGTCGCGCAATTAACAATTATGTACGATTAGTTATTGAATGGTTGCAAAAAAGTCAAAAATGATCAATAAAAGAAAAAGAAGTAAAAAAAAAACATTCTAGGTAATTAAATTATCGTTTTTCATGCAGTTGATAAATAAAAATGTCGTATGGCTAACATTGTTTAACATATCAGATATCAATGGCCGTGTGAATACGTAATGATATAAAGATCATATACTTTATCACGTGGGTTCGGAGTGCTTTCGCTCGGGTGACTTCTTACTAATTATTCAATTTTTGCTATTAATATTGTAAATCAATATTTGTTCCCAAGCACCTCTATGTGATTACATGATGATCGAAATGACGCACAACAATTCGATCAATTGAAATATTGAGCATTTCCTATCTTATTATACAATGTGAATCAAAAAATTACTATAAAAAAATTACAAAATACTTATTATTGTGTTTATTAAAAAATTATTTATTTTTTATTTTATACAATTAATTTTAAAAAATACTTAAAATTCTTAATAACTTATTGTTATGGTATTTTTATTTTATAATATAATTAAAATTAATTATATGTGTAATAAAACTTTTTTAAATTTTATTTATATAATATAAATATAAATAATTTTTTTAAAACAAAACCAATTCATGTGAAAATTTAAACATGTAAACATATCTTAACAAATATATATATATCATTAAATTTCCTAACTTGTTTTATTTTTTTTTATAAATTTGTTCTTATAATGTTATTTTTTAAAAAACATATACAACAAATTATATTACAGTTGTAAAAAAATAAAATTAATTTTGCAAATTGATCTTATAGGAATTGTTATAATAATAAGGTACAATTGTTTATTATAATAAATTTAAAAAATTAAAATCCAATATACTAAAATGAAATGGTAATACAGTATATAGATAATAGAAATAAAAAATATGAAAAATTAAATTTAAGCTTTTTTGAAAATTTCAAGTTTTGAATTTGAATTTTTTTTTAATAAAATTAAGTTTTTTTATATATTTCAATATTTTTTCTTTTGAATTTTATTTTTTTTAAGTTTAGGTTTTTTTTAAAAGATTTAATATTTTTTTTTGTTTTTAAGTATTTTTTTTTGTTTTTTTTTCAGAATTTAAATCTTTTTTTTTTGTTTCTTTTTTGTAAAATTTATATATTCTTTTTTTTTTAAGATTTGAATTTTATTATTTTTTTTTATTATTTAAGTTTTTTTTTAATTATATTTTTTCAGATTCGGGTTTTTTTTGAATTATATTTTTCAAATTTGGATTTTTTTTAAATTATATTTTTTCAAATTCTATTTTTTCAGATTTAAATATTTAAGGGAAACTTAAATTTAAATTTTTTCATTAATTTATTAATAAATTATATCACAAATTATAATAATTAAAATATAATTTAATTAGAATATATAGTTTAATTTAAAACATATAAAATATAAAGTTTAATAATTATATCATTAAAGTTTAATTAATTAAAATATATAATTTAAGTTAATATTCCTATGGAAACTTAGCATACTGGTATAAGGACTAATACCTCTATAAGGAGGTTGCGAGTTCAATACCAGGTGATGGCAGTACATGCCTGTTGAACCAATTCACAGAAGTCATTGTGATAAGCATCAGTTGCTTAACTACCATAACACTGTTATCTATAAGGACCAGTATAAAAATATAAACAAGAAACTCGTCATTAGATAGTTCCTGACCAATAACAACCTGAATTCAAATTTATCATAAAAAAAACATGAGGAACTGTTTCCCATAGAAGACCCAAGGTGTTGAGAAAAATTATGAGATCGAATCTTATAGTAGTACTGATATCTTAGACGTGGGACTGATATAATCATTCTGATAAGCATTAGTTGCTTAAATACCAGACATATTAGAGATGGCTATAAAAATACCTGGCAGTAAAACAATTTCGCACCTTTTTCTATAGGAAGAAAGTAACTCTCTCACTATAAAAAAAAAGTACTCAAAGAGAAAAACATCCTTAGGAGACCGAACTTTGCAGGATTATTAGGAGAAAGTATACAAGAACTAATCCAACTAATCAACAACATTTGCGAGGAGGCAAGAGAACAAAAGAAAAAACTTTGAGTTCTATTTCAAGACACAGCCAAGGCCTTCAACACTGTCAATCTTGACATGCTGTACAGAGCTCTAAACAGACTCAAAATCCTCACACTAATGTTAGACTTGCTAATTACACTGTTTCAAGGAAGAAGCTTCAAAGTTATAACAGATCAAGGTCTCACAAATACAGTATCAGCAGGAGATGACATTGACCAAGAGAATGCCATCTCATC